TTTGACAGTGCTGGGCTCTATGTCTAATGTAGGGACCTGTCTGCACGCTATCGGGACAGGCCTGTGACAGCCTGGCTTATATCTAATGTAGGACAGGACTGCGCGTTATCAGGACAGGCTCAGACAGCGCTGGGTTTATATCTAATGTAGGGGGTCTGACTGCACGTTATCAGGACAGGCTCAGACAGCGCTGGGTTTATATCTAATGTAGGGAATCTGACTGCACGTTATCAGGACAGGCTCAGACAGTGCTGGGTTTATATCTAATGTAGGGAATCTGACTGCACGTTATCAGGACAGGCTCAGACAGCGCTGGGTTTATATCTAATGTAGGGGATCTGACTGCACGTTATCAGGACAGGCTCAGGCAGCGCTGGGTTTATATCTAATGTAGGGGACCTGACTGCGCATTATCAGGACAGGCTCAGACAGTGCTGGGTTTATATCTAATGTAGGGGATCTGACTGCACGTTATCAGGACAGGCTCAGACAGTGCTGGGACTTTGATTGACAGCCTATCCTCTCAGTACTCCCCAGCAATGCTTGTCATGCTAATCAATACACAAGGGAGAGCCAGTCACTATACAGAGAATATAAATACTTCGGATCTCTTATATGGACTTACGGTTTGCCCTGGATTCAGGTTTACACATACAGACAGACTGCTGAGTTCACACACACACACTGTCTGCTGAGTACACACACAGTCTGCTGAGTACACACACACACACACACTGTCTGCTGAGTACACGCACACTGTCTGCTGAGTACACACACACTGTCTGCTGAGTACACACACACACACACAGTCTGCCGAGTACACACACACTGTCTGCTGAGTACACGCACACTGTCTGCTGAGTACACACACACAGTCTGCTGAATACACACACACAGACTGCTGAATACACACACACAGACTGCTGAATACACAAACAGACTGCTGAATACACACACTGTGCTGTGTGTGAGGGGTGCTGTGTGTGTGTCTGAGGGATGCTGCGTGTGTGTGTCTGTTTGTGTGTGTGTATGTCTGTCTGAGGGGTGCTGTGTGTGTGTGTCTGAGGGATGCAGTGTGTGTGTGGGGGTACTGTGTGTGTGCGGGGTAGGGATGCAGTGTGTGTGTGGGGGTACTGTGTGTGTGCGGGGTAGGGGTGCTGTGTGTGTGTGTCTGAGGGATGCAGTGTGTGTGTGGGGGTACTGTGTGTGTGTGGGTGGGTAAAGTGCTGTGTGGGGGGGTAGGGGTGGTGTGGTGTGTGGGGGAGTAGGGGTGGTGTGGTGTGGTGTGGAGGGTAGGGTACATTAAAAAATTCTGTATCCCCCCCTCCCTTCCTCTTACCCCTGGTGGTCCGGTGGTGGTAAGTAGGTTTGTGTGAAGCAGCTCTCCTGTACTCCCACGCGATGCTGGGTGGAACATTGCCATGGTAACGCGCAGCAACGCTCCACACAGCAGGAGAGCTGCTTCCTAGAGCCCTCCCCGTGCCTCCCGACATGGAAGCAGAGTAGGCGCCTGCTCTTTCAGGCAGGCAAGTGCCTACTCTGCAGACAGCCAGCGACCTATGGCCGCGTGCCCACAGAGAGGGCACGGCATGCCACCTGTGGCACGCGTGCCATAGGTTCGCCATCACTGTCTTAGCCCAACATGCAAGGGTTGTTACTAGCATAAGTATTATTATATAAGAAATACATATCATACATAAACAAAATGATCAATATATCAACTAATATCAAAATATTAAAATATTTTTCAACATATTAAATATATTTTAAAGGTTTATCCAAATATATTGAGTGGAGATTATCATTTGTTTTATTTTCCTTTCTGTCTATTCCACTTGATTTTCCTAATGGTTTATTACAGATAGCACTTTCTCTCTGGCTGTCAATGAAACCACGGCTTATTCTGGAGGTAACATATCCAAGGTCACAGAGTTTCTCCTGGTCTGCTTTCCAGACGTCCAGGGCTGGTACCTGATTGTCCCCCTCATGCTTTGTCTTGTTGTGGCCCTGGTTTGTAATGTGGCCCTACTGATTGTAATATGTGCGGAACCAAGACTGCATCATCCTATGTACTACTTCCTGGCCATGCTGTCCTTCACGGACATCCTTCTGTGCACTGTGGCCACCCCAAAAACAGTTGCAATACTGGTATATGAAGTTAAGACAATCACAACCACTGCTTGCTTCACTCAAATGTTCTTCATTAACCTGTGGTCATCCATGGAGTCATCCATCTTCTTGGTAATGGCGTATGACCGCTATGTCGCTATTTGTTGTCCACTCCATTATCCTTCAGTTGTCACCAACAAACTGGTGCTCAAAGCCATTGTGTTCATCGTAGCCAGGAATTTTGTGGTGATGTTGCCGCTTCCTCTCATTTCTGCCAGCTTGGATTATTGTTCTAGTCTAATCCCTCATTGTTTCTGTGAGACCATGTCGGTGGAAAAGTTGGCCTGTGGAAGTAGCTCTGTGGGAAGCATGTACAACTTGGTACTTTTTTGCATTGTAGGAGGTTCAGACCTTGTGTTCACTATCCTTTCTTACTCTGCAATATTAAGGACGGTGGTAAAAGCCCGCTCATGCACTGCTGCTTTCAAAGCCTTTCGGATATGCAGCTCCCACCTCATTCTCATCTGCTTCTTCTACTGCACAATTGGAACCACAATAGCATCTAGTCAAACACTCAGGGGGATTCCTCGCCATATCCACGTCCTGCTTGCACTGCTGCATCACCTGGTTCCCCCAGTTTTCAACCCTATAATATATGGCGTAATGACCAAGGAGATTAGAGAAGCCACAAAGAGATTTCTGCTAAAAGTTAAAGTACATCCTTGAGATTTAAGGAACCTTTACCGACCCAAATCTATAGCTCTATGTTTTCTACAAAGTTCTAAGCAAACATTTGTGAATCTGAATGACTTGCCAAATTATCTGGAGAAATGCTGGATTTTAGTCTCTGCCTTCCGTGGCACTAGAAGCTCCTGTTAGGAGCTTCAGTTAGCTCCCTGAACTAAGCTATGTCAAGCAGGGCTGACTCACTGGTTGCGAGACCTGGTAAAGCTCTGAGCAGGAGCCACAGGACGCTGAGAGAGGAGCCTGGCAGACCACAAACAAGTTTTTAAAGCATTCCTTTGCCTATTTATGGACTGTAGTGGTTATGGTGCTTGGAGTGTTTCTTTAAAGAGGAACTGTTGTGCCCCATGACTTTTAACCGTCATAGTTGTATTCTTAAGGGGTTAATATTATCTTTATGTATCCTGTATATTAAACTAAAATTTATTTGTGAGATGTAAAAAATAAAATGAAAAGGAGAACTACACCCTGGCAATCAGTATAAAGAGAGCCACCTCCATCTTAGCTCCCTGTCAATCATTGTTATAAGCTCCGCCCTTTACACCTGGCAGTCAGTATAGAGAGAGCCACCTCGATCTTAGCTCCCTGTCAATCATTGTTATAAGCTCCGCCCTTTACACCTGGCAGTCAGTATAGAGAAAGCCACCTCCATCTTGGCTCCCTGTCAGTCATTGCTATAAGCTCCGCCCTTTACACCTGGCAGTCAGTATAGAGAGAGCCGCCTCCATCTTAGCTCCCTGTCAATCATTGTTATAAGCTCCGCCCTTTACACCTGGCAGTCAGTATAGAGCCACCTCCATCTTAGCTCCCGGTCAATCATTGTTATAAGCTTCGCCCTTTACACCTGGCAGTCAGTATAGAGAGAGCCGCCTCCATCTTAGCTCCCGGTCAATCATTGTTATAAGCTCCGCCCTTTACACCTGGCAGTCATTATAGAGAGAGCCGCCTCCATCTTAGCTCCCTGTCAATCATTGTTATAAGCTCCGCCCTTTACACCTGGCAGTCAACATAGAGAGGGAGCCACCCCATCTTAGCTCCTGTCAATCTCATTGTTACAAACTCCGCCCTTTACACTGGCAGAGTCAGTGTTACCCCAGAGAGCAGCCTCCATCTTAGCTCCCTGTCACTCATTGTTATAAGCTCCGCCCTTTACACCTGACAGTCAGTATAGAGAGAGCCGCCTCCATCTTAGCTCCCTGTCAATCATTGTTATAAGCTCGCCCTTTACACCTGGCAGTCAGTATAGAGAGAGCCACCTCCATCTTAGCTCCCTGTCAATCATTGTTATAAGCTCCGCCCTTTACACCTGGCAGTCAGTATAGAGAGAGCCACCTCCATCTTAGCTCCCTGTCAATCATTGTTATAAGCTCCGCCCTTTACACCTGGCAGTCAGTATAGAGAGAGCCACCTCCATCTTAGCTCCCTGTCAATCATTGTTATAAGCTCCGCCCTTTACACCTGGCAGTCAGTATAGAGAGAGCCACCTCCATCTTAGCTCCCTGTCAATCATTGTTATAAGCTCCGCCCTTTACACCTGGCAGTCAGTAGAGAGAGCCACTCCATCTTAGCTCCCTGTCAATCATTGTTATAAGCTCCGCCCTTTACACCTGGCAGTCAGTATAGAGAGAGCCACCTCCATCTTAGCTCCCTGTCAATCATTGTTATAAGCTCCGCCCTTTACACCTGGCAGTCAGTATAGAGAGAGCCACCTCCATCTTAGCTCCCTGTCAATCATTGTTATAAGCTCCGCCCTTTACACCTGGCAGTCAGTATAGAGAGAGCCACCTCCATCTTAGCTCCCTGTCAATCATTGTTATAAGCTCCGCCCTTTACACCTGGCAGTCAGTATAGAGAGCCGCCTCCATCTTAGCTCCCTGTCAATCATTGTTATAAGCTCCGCCCTTTACACCTGGCAGTCAGTATAGAGAGAGCCACCTCCATCTTAGCTCCCTGTCAATCATTGTTATAAGCTCCGCCCTTTACACCTGGCAGTCAGTATAGAGAGAGCCACCTCCATCTTAGCTCCCTGTCAATCATTGTTATAAGCTCCACCCTTTACACCTGGCAGTCAGTATAGAGAGAGCCACCTCCATCTTAGCTCCCTGTCAATCATTGTTATAAGCTCCGCCCTTTACACCTGGCAGTCAGTATAGAGAGAGCCGCCTCCATCTTAGCTCCCTGTCAATCATTGTTATAAGCTCCGCCCTTTACACCTGGCAGTCAGTATAGAGAGAGCCGCCTCCATCTTAGCTCCTGTCAATCATTGTTATAAGCTCCGCCCTTTACACCTGGCAGTCAGTATAGAGAGAGCCACCTCCATCTTAGCTTCCTGTCAATCATTGTTATAAGCTCCGCCCTTTACACCTGGCAGTCAGTATAGAGAGAGCCACCTCCATCTTAGCTCCCTGTCAATCATTGTTATAAGCTCTGCCCATTACACCTGGCAGTCAGTATAGAGAGAGATTACATAGAGAAGAAGACATGACACAATGTTTCTGTTTTTTTCTTCATTTGCAATATGTGCCCTGACTGTGCCTTGTCTTTTAAATCTTTAATATAATTTTAAAAGATTTTCAATGTTTTATTAAATGATGGACTTTGCAGAGATGTGACAGTTCTCCTTTAATATTAGCACATTTAATTTATTAAGGTCATCCTTAGTGACAGAGACACCAGGACGGGATCATTGTACGGTGAATAGGGTTTAAATGACTGTGCTGTACCTAATAAAATTAGATCTTCTCCCAGCATTAAGTCGCAACTAATGGGAGGAAAAGGCTATAACATTGCTATCCTGCGAGCTATAATCACTGACTACTGCGCTGAATGCGATACTTCATGTGCTCAGCAGGGGATAAATCACACTGATACAAAGTGAACACCAATAATAAACAACATAAAATTTAAATAAATACATAATAAATAAGACACAGACTCAGAAGTGTTGCAGAAAAGGCCGTGGTCTTTTATTTGGTTTACAAATAATACAAACTACATGTGACGAGACCAATCTCGCCACATTGCATTGGAGAAGCCTGGTTGCTCGCCTGCTGCCTTTGGACTATGGCCCCATGTTAAAAGACTTTGTTTCACCTGTAGAAAAGCTTTATTCGTGCTTTTCTGTCTGGTGTTCGGTAGATTCAGTCTACCGAACAACCGCACGAATGACTGGAACGCCTGGGAGCTGGAGTGTGCCGGCAATTAGCCTCCCTTAAGCTGCGGTTAACCGCAGCTTAATTGACAAATGCTGGGTGGCCGCCATTCGTATCACAAACACGAGGTCTCGGCCATTTTAAACATGCGAATGCACAGCGGTGTTCGAAGCTTAATTCATGGAACTCAAATCGGACACAGTTTTGCGCGAACACCGCTGAAGCCGCCGACCTCCCTTCTTGGTCGGTGAAAGTGCACGAACGGCCCGGCGTTCGGTAGTTTTACTGGAATATGTTATACCCCAGATAGGAATCCCATGGAGCCCATTCGCATGAAACTGACTGTGTAAAGACTTTAGCTCCATGGCGATTAAACTGTATTCGTGTGGTCTGAGCGCCATTCGCTTAATAATGTGCACTCAGACCTGAGCTATCTGGGGATGTGTTAAATGTATAAGTTTATTGTAATGTGTCTTACATAGTGTATTTTAACAGTAATTCGTGTGTTCGTATGCCCACGTGCATAATGGCGATTTGCCTTTGTCTTGGGAGATAATTGAATTACTTCTCAATTATCTCCAAGGCAGAGGGGAGGAAGCCAGGATGCATTGTGGGAATATAATTGGTGTTTAAATTAGCTATTGTTTGCAAATAAGCAGAAGCCTACCCAGGTGTTAAACATTCCTAGTGGGTGGTGATTTTAGGAGTTATATAAGGGTTGTTGTCATTAGCTTGGCTAATATAGCTTGGTTGCTTCACCTAAGTGTTGCTTCTAAGTGTGTAGTTGGAGATATTCTGAAGAGTGTTGCTTCTAAGTGTGTAGTTGGAGATATTCTGGAGAGTGTTGCTTCTAAGTGTGTAGTTGGAGATATTCTGGAGAGTGTTGCTTCTAAGTGTGTAGTTGGAGATATTCTGGAGATAAACTGGAGGTAATCTGAGGTATTCAGGAGGATAAATAAAAAGTTAAGATTTGTTTGATTTAAATTATTCTCCTCATTGGAATGGCAGACTTAGTTCAGTGTAATAGTTGCTATGCATTTGTTTCACGTTCCACTTTTTGGAGGTTTGGTTGTTGTCTAATCTGTAGACAGTTCTCTATCTTGCGGCAGGAGATTGTATTTTTGAAGTCTGAGATTTGTAAATTATCTGGTGAACAAACTCAGACTGGAACTGCTGCAAAGCCACTGCTGCAGAGACATACTAGGAATGGCAGATGGATTACTGTAGGATCTGGTAGACTTAGATTTGTGGATAAAAGGCATTTTGCACAGTCTGTTGCTCTACATAATTAATTTTCTGCACTTTCAGAGTGTAATGGTGTTGTGGAGAGAGGCACTGAGGCTAGTGGTGTTGTGGAGAGAGGCACTGAGGCTAGTGGTGTTGTGGATAGAGCCACTGAGGCTAGTGGTGTTGTGGAGAGAGGCACTGAGGCTAGTGGTGTTGTGGAGAGAGGTGGGGCTGCAGGGTTTTGTTGACAAAGGCGGCTGTGGAATCGGTTTTCCGGCTGCTGCCGCTACGCCCGTTGGGTTGATTGTTTCCAGGTTGTGTTTCCGATGGTCAGGATTGGGTGGCTATGTGCCTCCATGTGGGTTGCTCCCGATGTCGTTTATGGGTGGGGCCGTCGGTGCCGCATGTCCGCACTCTGCTGCTGCAGTGTTTTTCCTGGGGTAGTTTTATGAGTTTCGGAGTTCCATGGCCCAGGCCATTTCCGTAGGTCGGGATACGGGCTGTAGTCTCCTGGATAGTGGGATCGATTCCTGCAACGGGACGTCGGTTGCCCCTGACTGCGGTTTGGGACATCGGGCAGGAGGCGTCTGTGTTTTGGAGGGG